CTGCTGAACACGGGGAAAATTTGGCCACCCCAGCATTTCCCTTAAAACCAGCGTGAGCTCACAACAATGTTTCAAATGACATTCTTTGGTTCTGTTTAAGAAAGAGATGCAATTTGTGGAATACTTGTTATGAACAGATATTTCAAGTGGAGAAATAATGGGACTAGGATATATTTAAAGAAAAAAGAGTAACTCAATCTACATACCACTCTTGGAAAGACATAACACCACCCAATATTAGTCTTTTAAGATGATGTAATTTGGACAGCAATACTTCACAAAGAAAGAAAAAAGAACAGTAAGTACTAAAACAAAGGGTCTGAAATGCCTCCAAAAAGTCACCTTTCCTCATCTCACTTCTGCAGAAGTACTTCTAAATAAAGTTGCAGTACAGATCACTTAAATTATATTTATTTTTAAATACAAGTCAGACTGCTTCCCCACACAAACATTGTAGGTGGTTTAAAGTTCAGAGTACTGGTAGCTTCTCAGGGCCAACGAGTTCAAGAACCTTCATGATGTGAGCCTGCACAATTCAGGGTAGCATTCAAGTTTTAGCCATATGTCTCACAACTTAATATTCAACAGGAACAAAAAAAAATTCGTACCACATTTATTCAAGTGGCCTGGCTAGCAAGCTTCTTAAAAGGGTATTTTTGTGCTGTGGATATTTTAATATAGCTCAAGGTTTAGTAAAGTGTGTCTGAGACCAAATGCTGACACCTGACATGGAAATGCTGCTAATTTAATCATTTACAGACTCATCACTTGAAGTAAAAGCTTCTTTTTCTTACCTCATGTATGCATAAGCACCTAATAAAGCCATCTTATCAAAAAGAACAAAAGCAGATGTGAAAGATCTGCTTCTCCCAAGACAGCCATATAATGAAAAAATAGCTGCTTAAACCTCAGCAATAAATGCTCTTAGGTTTGCAGTCCACATCTGGCCACAGCAACACTTGATAACAGAGAAAAGAACATACTGTACACAATATAATCAATCCATCTAGTCAATGGAAGAGTGAAGAGGCCAAAGACAAGAAGGTATAAAACACAGTGATAAAGTGTCTTGCAGGAGTAATGAAACAAGCTTGGTCCAGCACTTTGAGTCCACAGACAAAATACTTAGCTTGTGTTTTATCATCTTGTGAGCTGTTTATTTAAACAGGAAGACCAGAACAGATTTTGCTCTTTCAAACAGCCACTAATAATGTGAGATCATTCCAACTGCAACATTAATTTTAAAGACCAAAGGAAAACCCTGCTTAAAACTCAGTTCTGTTCCTACCTGCCCATCCTGACCCACGTGAACTTGATGTATCTGCAGGTTTCCCTGTAAAAGAAGAACATTGACAGTAAACATGACTTTGGAATTTAAGAAGTCATTCTGTCCTACACGAGGCCTGTTTCTCATCTCATTATTAAACAACTTTAGTATTAAGGAAATCTATTAATTTAGAAAATTCTGCTGAGGGTTATTTTGGCAATCCCTCTACAATTGAATGGTCAGCACTTTAACCACAGAGGATAAACAGCCTAAAAAGCAAGGAGGTTTTTCAGCACCAGAATGTTTTGCTTTATGCAAGTGACTGTATAATGCAAAGGATTTTCAGGCAAACTTTGTTTGCTGGCTTTTGAGGCAAGATCTTTTTGTTTTTTCCTTATTTATATAAAACTGCAAATTTAAGCCAAACCCTTAAGAAACTAAATTTAGCTTTCTAACACTTTTACATGTATGGAGTGCTATCTACTATTTGTGGTTATAAAGCTACTGCTTGTGCTGATAGATTTTTTTTTTATTTTAGCACAATTCAATACCACAGACCAAGATAGTTGTATTATGGGAATTATACTACTACTATCAAAAAAAAAAATCTCAATAATGTCAAGTATTTTAAAGGAAACTGTAACCACAAAGTCTAAAAAAGGAAAGCGGTATCTTTACAAAATGAAGTTTGTATTCACATGCTCAGAAAGGTCTTTCCAAAAGTACACTTAGATTAAGAAAAACCAGCTTCCCAAACCCAGAGGCTTGCAGTGAAACAGCACATTTCTTTGAGGAAAAAAACAGCAATTCTTTGATTTGCATGTTTTCTGCAGTTTCTCTCCCTGGCAGCACTTCATCTTATTTGAAGCTGTGTACATTGTAATAAATTTAAAACCAGATGTTTTCATCTGTCACGGACAAATGCAGTCCTTAAAAGTCCTACATATGGGAACTTCAAATGAAGCCAACAGACACCAGAGTGTGCTTGGACCACAGCATCAATTACAACTGGTAGTTGCTGAATCCTAGGTTTTTAAGTTGCCCTTTACCCCAGAATTCCCTCTTTTACTGTTTTATTGTAGCAGACTGTATGTTCCTTCAGACCCAGAACAGTTTTATCCTTCCCTATTTCTCTCTAGCTCTGACAAGCTCTTTAAAGGAAATTGCCTTTAACTATAATATTTATATAATATCTATATAATATTTATTCTACAACAGCTCCCTGTGTTAACAGTATTCCTCCCCACCAAAAGTGGCTTTATGAGATGTGATTTAAGGTACTTTTGAAATTGATTAAACTAACTCACAAGCAGCTATGCTTAACATCAAATAAATAAAACTCTGCAGGGGAATCAGATAAAAATTGTATTTTGCATTTATGTTTAACCTTATTTTGCTATTGATTCTTCATGTAAACAGACTAAGCACACAAGAAATCTAACAACAGTCTTAGTAGCTAGAAGTCTTTATCCATTCTTAAATAACTGACAATAGCACTCAGGTAAATTCAGCTGCCTTTAATAGCTGTTCTGCCTGAGTAGGGAAAAAGTCAAAATGGGAGGGTTCAGTACTGGATTTATCTATTTCCATTCTTCTGTACTATTTTTACAGAAAAAAAATTATGAAGTGCAAACACTGCAGTGCCAGATTACTTGATCAGTAACAAAGGTAAATCACTTCTATCTGCAATATAGCTTTACTAGAAAGTGTCAGAAGGTTTCTCCAGCTCCTGTTCAACAGTTCCCACCTTTAAAAACACTGAGTATTCTGAATGCTTTCAGTTCATAAACCTCAAGTTTATGAAGTTCAAAAATCATTTCATTTCTCAATAGCAGCGCAAGCACCTAAGCTGGTTTCCTATAATACCCTGTAATCACTAAATTTCCAGTGGAGACCATTAGCTACATACAGTTAGTGTGATGCACCCAGAGAGCTGGTCAAGGGGAAAAAAAAACACACACAAACATACACCTCCCACTCTCTACCCCTAAAACACAAAACAAGCAAACAAAAAGAGACTAAACTCCCCCAGACAGAGATTGCATATTGCATTTACTGCCATAAAGTCCTCTTCATCCTGGCTCCACCACATCCTCTTGCTCCTACACTGGTCTCTACAGCCCACTGTAGCAGATCTCAGAGGTACATTTTAGACTTGGGGTCCTAAATTCTGGCCAACATCTGCTCCACAGGCACCCAAAGTTTTGGCTCACCTCGCTGTCCTGTGTGATTTGGACCTGCTCTCCTTGAGGAACCTGGGCTATGTGGAGATGGCCCTGTGGGATCCGCAACAAAAGAAAACACCAAGGAGCATCAGAGGAAAATCATAACTAGAGGAAGAAGTTATTACCTTGGATGCAATACAGCTTAATGTAAGGAAGCAAGATGCTTATTCCATTTAAAACAAAGACAGTTTTATATTCAGTGCATCCACATTTCACCATCTTTTTATGCAAAGTATAAGCAGCGTGATTCTGAAGAAAAAAATATTGATTTTCACAGAAGAGGAAAGAAAATAGGCATAATAATAAACAACATTTATATAGCACATTTCTCTGTAAACAAAGCATCTGTGTTATTGACTGATGCACACAGCATGGGACAGACTTGCTTTGGTAGATGAGCATTGCTCCCAAAACACTCATCTCATTTAAAGACCTTGGAAACTCAGTTCTAACTACTCAGAGTGAGGCTTTAAAAGATATCTGTAAGTAACCATATATCCTTGTACAGTCACATAAAGTACTGCACCATGTTCAACACTATCTCTCAAGCTGCTACAAATTGGCATGAAGTCATTAATTTGAATGCAGTTACACTGGTTTATGTTCGTGGAGAATCTGTCCTAACAGTTTTAATAATGTTAATACTTTGTATTGCTGGCCATACCCAGCCCTTCAGAATGGTATCAAACCTACCATTTGATCAAAGCATGGATAAGAGTGGACAGAATTCCTCCTGCATCCTGACTAGCCCTGCAAAGTCTTTGCTACTGTGATTTACCTGAAGGGAGATTGGATTCTAAATAACCTACTTCAGGGTTCATAATGCTTTGTGTTCATTTTAATATGTCTGCATGAGACAGAGATTAAAGATAATCATTTGGAATTCTGTCAAAGGCTCTTCTTATTTTATAACACAAGAACAATTGCATGTGATTTTCAAAGAAACACAGATCCCTCTATTTCAAACAGTTTCATTTCCTTTGGAAGGAAACTGTCTATTTATAGGGAGAAAAAACATACTGAGAGTATCACTCTGACAATAGGGACTGTATATAAAATTATAGCACAGCCCAGTCCATGTTGAGATTAGAATCACTTTCCCTCCTTAACATACAGCTCTCAGGGCTCCCAGGAAAAAGCAGTGAACGTTTAGAAAGATCCATTTACAGTGTTTTCTAAATATAAGCAATCTTTTTGACTAAAGGGAGGGGGGAGAAGGTCACTGTATTCACCTTTGTATCGTGCAGCATTCCAAAGAACTGCTCACTCATCTTTTGTTGATACATACCTGGCCTTTGAGGAAAGTCCTGTCAGTTTGTTCAAAATTCAATTCAATACTGTTTGGATTTTTTAAAACATATATTGTATAACTACCTACTACCTTGCTAAGGACTCTGAGCCCTATCTGCATGTATTGTTGGTCATAGTGGATTCCTTCCTGGATTCCACAAATTAAAGGACAGTTTAGAGGTCCAAGTCTTCTAAACGAGGCAAAGTTAGATGTATAAATATAACCATTATGGCTATTATATCAACATACTTCATATCATTTTCCCTTATACCTTGTCTTTCAAGACTTGAAAATTACTTTTCAGTCAGTCATCAATTAAGTCTCAAAAAGATCCATACAGCAGTTGAGAAGAGAACTTCTTTAAAATATATAGGGAAAGCAAGAGACAAAGAAATTCACATGATAGTACTGTAAAGTTAAGGCAAAAGTGAAGTGAAAATGGAACCTCTGCACCCAGTTCCTGCAGAAAGAGTTGAGTCCTGGCCCATACTCAGACTTCTGGGTAACTTCAAAATGCTATTTCTTTCTACTTTTTTTTTGTAAAATTTAAATTTAAAACAACCCTTGTAGTCAAACTGTGGCACACAAGAACTAAAGCCAAGGCAGTTTTTCAGAGTACACAAAAACCATATATAAAAATAATCATGGCCTGAGTTATAGCAGGAGTCTCAGGCTCAAAAAATGTCAATATTTAAAACTTGTGTACATATATCTAAACAAATACACATGTAAAGCATTCAGCTAACAGATGTTAAAAAATGGCTGAGAATGCAGGGGTTTAAGTGAAAATAAATATATGCATTGTCATGTGAAAGTCACAGCTGGCACTACCTCTAAAGTGTAAATCATATGCTTAGTAGGTCTGTGGTTATTGTTATGGCAAATGCAAACAACCAGATAGAAAGTAGTCAATTCTGCATACAGTAATGAACTTATTTGCAGCAACTGTGTTCCCAAATACTACAGGAAGATTTTTGTCAAATAACTCTAACAATTTTTTCAGAAGTCTTCAAGGCGTGTGTTCTGACAATCATGTTTAAGAAGTGACACCACTTTAAAACAAAAAAACTAATTTCAACTGCAGCAAAGTTTGCAATAACCTAGATTGTTTAAATGGAATAATTTAGAAAAAGTTGAGTACATACTACTTGGACTTGTCCATCTTCTCCTATTTGGTGGATCTGAACCTGCTGAGCGTTGGCTAGTGTGTAGTGCAGTGCCTGTGGCTGGTTCTGCTGGATCTCGTTAGAAGCTGAAACTGAACTCTGTGAACCCTCTGAAAAGAGAGAAAAAATCCAATTTTATTATATGTGTGTATCTCATGCCATGCAACAAGGTAGACTTAAAAACTGTGGAGAACAAGTGCAGCCAGTAGACGCAGCTCATGATACGTTAATATTCTGACACGTGTTCTTTGCTCACCAGCTCCTAAGGAGTTCCAAAGGCTACTTTGGAGGCACGTTTAAAAAGCATCTTTTGAATCTAGATGAAAGGTTCTCCAACTGTAAAAGTCACATCACAGCAAAACCACAGACAGCTGCAAAGCAGTTCTACGCTTCCTTTTGTGCACCTGAGAACTATCACTGCCACCACCACAAAGGTTGTATCTGAACACCCACCCTGTAAACTGAAGTTAGCATATAAATAAAGGATCTCTCTCAACTGTTTTTCAAGATCTATCACCTATAATTCGTACTGACACACAAGCCTGGAATTATTATTCTTTTTAGCCTCAAAATGGCAGGTTGATTTCTTGACTTAGAGGAATTTAAGCACTACCTCACATTGCAAAGTCAGTCCTTCTGAACATGTCCCTAGAGAAGGGAAGACACCTGGGTGTTACCTCTGGTTAACAGTGACAGTCACCAGTAAAACCACTGCATGATTTCTAGAGGAACACAACTTTTACTAGAAATAAACACAGCACAGATTCATTGCTGCCTTTTCCAGCAGCAGAGTAAGGATTCTTACAAATCTGAGAGGCAAATGGCAAGTAAAAAGAACTAAATTCTTATATTTTTTCAGCATAAATGCACTCAAGTATGTGTTTGGGGATTTTTTTGGAAACATGACTTTCTTAATGTATTTGGTGCCAGTGATACTGAGAGATTCATAATGTCAGTAATTCTGTACTGCAATGGTGAGGTGGAATACAATGGACCAGAGACTACAGCTTTGAATGGGTCTTCTTACAGATTAAGACACCTTTAGCAGGTAAATGTGTCACTAGATACCATACATCCTGCTAGGAAACAGGGGAAAAAAAACAGGGGCTATCCATGACACTTTTCCAGCAGGTGAGACAAATTCAAGTCCACACAGCCAGCAGAAACCTTAAAACTTCCCAATATCATATTAATATCCTACTAGTATCACACTAACATCCAACATCAGTCTTAGTTTTTTTTCCTTTATTTTTTTAATTTGAGATATTCTGGAGAACAGGCTTGTCCTAAAGGGCTTTTAGAAGAGTATTTTTAGTATCTGATGAAATACTTTTCACACACATTATTCCTGTAAACAATTTTAACATCTTTTTTTTGCTATGCCAGAAAAACACGTTGAATGAAATCCCTGAAGCATGAAGTGTGTTGCAATTTTTCTAAATTATTTATTGCTCTGACAATGAATTTTGTGCTATAACATAATGTAAAGCACATTAACATGTACTAACATTCAATACCACAGGGCTTTTGAGCTGTCCAAGCACCGGAAACTCTAATGAAAATATTTAAGAAACTCTGTCACTCTGCTTCCATTGTAGATTGTTTCCTTACAAGATTCTGTATTGCTTAAATAAGCACTAGCTGGGCCTCATCCTGCTCAGAGATGACTGGTGGCTGATATATTCTGATTTTTAAAATGATGGTTTGTTTCTTAGAACCAACACAGCAGGAAGCCATGTTTCATACAATTTTAATACCTGTAGTTAATACTCTAAGATATATACTGAACAACTATGTTAGTTTTGCAAGAATGAGCTTTATCCACTTGCACAAATATTTTAATGGAAATGTTCTTCAATAAAATCATCCATTTGGGTTCTTCTTAATCCTGTCTGCAAATGTTTGTGTAAGAAGACAATTTTGAGTTTTAAATCTAAACAGGGGAACTGGAAACTAACTCAAAACCACCGAGCTAGTATTTACTTACTTGTTGAAAAGTTTAGCTGCTTAACAATTCAACTAGACAGCTCTAACTATGTTAACAATCTGCAAATACATAACTACAACCAGAACACGTAGGCAGTAAATGAGCAAAACAGAACTACTACATGGTTTTGCTGTCCTTTGGACATACCTCTTTAATACCTTACATTTGACTAGGAGATAACTGCAGTTTGTAATTCCTTAACCATAGTCCTGTGGCTTAGTGTGCAATTCCAGTATTTCCTGTGCTGTTGTACAATGCAAGCTTGCTGTACAGAATTCCAGATGGGATTAACAAATCACAGCTGGCAGAAAAGTCCTTTACCTAGTGTGAGAAACTGCACTGTCACCCAAACACAAATGGGATTTGTTCTGTTTCTGACACTGGAGCATGCTCTTCACTGCCAGGGACTTTGTCGTGGCCACTGGAACTAACAGGTATTCTAGAGATATCACTCCCCTAAGCCTCCTTGTCTTTCACTTTTTCTCTCATTTCCACAACTTCAGTCCTAAGAATATTTTCTGCCACTTTCTGTAACTTTCATTTTACAAATAGCATTCTGTTAGGATGCTAAGTGGCTAAAGAAGCCCACTGTTCTTCAACTGGCTTCCTCCAGGCTCCCAGCAGTCCATTCTGCTGGGCTTTAGGATTCTATGATTGTCTTTCCATCATGCTTCCCAGTCTCCCACTACATAATTCAGCAGCTGAGTTGAGTTACAACTCAATTTCTAGTCAACCTGCAGTGTCCAAAAGCATAATCCTTCAGTCAGATGTGTGCACATATACACAGCTGCACGTGTACCTATATCAGATATCAAAAATATATATTTATCTATATTTTATGTGCACATATTGAAATACATTTTTAACTGTAAAGTCCGAAAGCCTGTATTTGTAAACCACTTTCTGCTTCACAGATGCCAGGAATTATGACACTTTTCAGAGGTGGGAACAGGAGACATGGACTGAATGCAGTCACACTGTACATCTCACATGGTCACCTATAAATAGATCTCAGCTTGACTTCACTGCACCAACCCCAGTCAGGTTTTCTCTCTATTTTTGTTGGATTTTGGTGTTTTGTTTGGGTTTTTCTCTTAGGAAGAAAGAAGAGAGAGGATTCAACGGTGTCTAAAAACAAAACATCCTTTGTAAGTATTCTTCTTCCCTTCTAAATCTCTGAGCAGACAAAAGTAATATTTGTCCATTTTTAAACATTCCCCATTAAAAACAAACACAAACATGAATAGCACACAGCTTGAATGGAGGATATGTCAACAGTGATAAATCAGCATCATGTAAACTATCTAGCCTCACATTTACAACTTTGATATATTAGAGAACCCCTGGCACAGAGAAGCTCTACAGCTGAACTCAACGCTTTGAAATTCTCCTCCACGCTAGCTGGCAAAATCACCTCCACTGAAACAGTTACTTGTGCCACATTCTCAAAGCTAATCTTCTTCAGATATTGCCAAGCAAGATTAGATTTGTCAGACAAATATCATTTGCAACTGTTTCAAGAATATGTGTGATTAATTCTCAATGAAGATCGGTTTTAAAATTCCCTACTTCAAAGGCAAAACCTTTGGCATTTTATAATTCTTCCCTATTCTACTCCATATTTATCAGCTGAGCATCTGGCTTCTCGTTTTGTAGGAGGTACAGATTCTGTAGCAGAGGGATTCATGCTTAGCCTCCTTATTCCAAGGTTTTTTCCTAGTGTAGAAGCCTCCCAGCCCCACGCTTCTGCTCACAAACTCGGATGGATTTTCTTGCTTCCTTGATGTGTAGTCCCAGCAAGGAAAGGTTAATGGCCAGATGCAGCAAAAAGCAGGAAAAACAGCATCACTGAAGAATTAATAGAAATGAAACTGTATACTGTAAACCATTATCTCAACCTGACTCATCCAGCGCTAAATGCCTCCAATTTTGCAGAACAGCTTTGAAGATTTGGCTGCCCATCCACTTTTATATGTGACATCTCAGCACAGACTGAGCACTTCAGCCTAAATCTACATATAAATCCCAAAGTCATAGAACTAATTAAAAATTCCAGCATGGAAAACAGTGATAACAGCTTTAACAATCTTAAGAGAAATTAAAAGAAAGGGAGAAGGCACTCTTCAATTAATCCTCCTCTCCAAAACCTCATTTCCTCCTGCCTTCCCTCCACAGACTGCTAACGTTTTAAAAAGAACATCTAGCTAAATTATCACGGCAGCCATGTGTACAACTTGTCAGGAAATAAAAAAAAAAATAAAAAAGAAGGAAAAAATATACATTAAGGACCAAAGTGTTGGCTTGGTGAAAAGCAGAGCAAACCGCTGCTATTAATACCTCGACTCCAACAAAAGGCAACAGCCTCAAACAGAAGAGCCAGAGAAAATACGGAAAACCAACTTTGGTCAAAATAGAACAGCCTGCCACAACAACTTCATGCAACCCATAAATCTTGTTGCTACTGTAAAGCTGCATAGTTGATTAAATGTCTAACAACCTCAATATTTTTGGGGTGAAGGACAGAGAAGAAATTCGTTCATGTTTTCCTACCAGCTTCCTTAGACACGTGTTTGCCTGCAGAGCAGTTCCTCTTGAGCTCTTAGCACTTGTAAGTAATTCAGAATCATTTATTATGTATGGAATAACTCATAAAAATCACAAAATCACAGAATAGATGAGGTTGGAAGTGATCTCTGGAGATCAACAAGCCCAATGCCCTTCCTCAGAGCATGGACAACCAGAACCAGTTCCTTCAGACTGCGTCCAGGTGGATTTTGAGTGTCTCCAGGGGTGGTGACCCTGCAGCTTCTCTCAGCAACCTGTTATTGCATTCAACCACCCTGAAGATTCCTCAGAGCCAGAGAAATCCAAGTCACGTCACAAGCAGGTGACTTTCAGGCTATTTTTTGGGTTTTAGACTGCATTTTTTTAAAAAAAAAAAAAAAAAAACAGCTCTGGAAAATCAAGTCCCCTAACTCACAAGGGAGGATGGCCAGCAGGTGAGTGGCCATGCTGATTTGAGCCTATTTCAGGACTCAAAAAAAATATTTTCTTCAGTGATATCTAGAAATGTTCAACAATTTTCCCTGCCCAACAGAACACACTAAGTTATTCTACACTTTCAGCATGCCAGCATTTAAGAAAATACTCTTTAACACAGAAGAAAATGATGCTCCTCTGCACCACTTGAAAATACCAACAAGTTTTTGCTGATTGAAACATGTATTATACTAAGTCAAAATGGAAAGCTATCTTGTTCTTATCAACCCCAAGAGATAGATGATGAAAAATATTACTTCAAGCCAATCAAATACAGAAGTTTTAGACTTGAGGATTGTTTGTTTGGGTTTTTTTTTTGGTTGCACCTCTCAGTCAAAATTTAATCTGAAATATTCTAAGTTCAGAAGTGGAAAAACCTTATCAAGCTCTGCAAAAAGTTCATACTAGGAACGTGGTGTTCATTCACTCAGGCTCAGGATGTTGAAATCATATTTAAACCTCTTAATGATGTTTTCAGAAGAGCTCAGCTGCCCAGCAGACACTGTGATACTATGTGTCTGCTCAAGGCATCTGCTGATGGCAATCCGGCATCTAAGAAAGAAAAGCTTTCTGGAGACTATGGGATTAGCTTCTAGAGTAAACCCTGAAACTTCCCTAGGAAGTTATCATCACTTAGCTACAAATCAGTGGGTTTAAGCAGTTCACAAACAGCTTAGCTTTTTTGTATTTAACCTGTTAAAAGGGGAGTGTGTGCAGATTTTTTCCCCCATGTGACATAATCCAAAGTGCTTGGTCCCAAGCCAGAGCTTCTCAGGACAGCTCAGAGAACATTATACCAGAGATCACGCTGCAGATTCCCCACGTCCTTCACACAGCAGCAAATCACAATCTTTTAGGAGCCTTTTTTTTTTCCCATTATATCCTCTGTGAGAAGCAGCTACTATATTCCACCCGACAGATAAACACCTCAAATGCCTGTTCTATGTGAATTGAGATGGAATAAGACATCATTACTCAATGAAACCAAACCCAGGTATCCTGCAGACAGCAGCAACCACAGCTGGGTGGAGACCTGACAGAAAGCACCTAGAAGCTGATCCTAACAGCTACAACTTCACAATAGTGGGAACGACAGTTTCTCAGGTAGCTGAATTTCAAGGCTCACCTTAAATTGCCCCCTGAAACAAATGCTACTATAAAAACTGTCTGGGTTCATATGTAACACTTTAAAAAGCTGTATTTGACAGCTATGTTGTCATAACTGTGAAATACAGACCTCCTTTACTTCAGAGCTGTGAAATATTACTTCTCTTTC